CCCTACCTGAAGAATGGCAAAAAATATATACTTCTTCTTCAGACATTGATCCTACTATTTATGATCTGCTTCTCATTATCCCGTCAAAAGAGAAATGGCTCAATGCGATTAATCAATTGAATTCCAAATCGGCGCCAGACATTTCAGGAATTAGTTATTCACTCATAGTCTATTGCTCTCAAAAAACACAGGAAATGTTTGCTAGATTCTCAGGACTAATTTTGTTATCATCTATCTCTCCCACAAAGTGGAAGTTCTCTCAATTGTATCTGATTCCGAAATCTACCGACTGGAATTTCAATCTGTCACTCACCCGTCCCATCCTACTTTTAGAATGCTTTCGCAAATGCGTAGTTAAAGTCCTTACTATTCACCTATCTTTTATTTTAGTCCAGCACAATATTTTGAAAGGCCCTAACTACGCTGGTCTGCCGGGCGATAATACTAATACACCAGTTTCTATTATTAACAATGTTATCTTTGACGCAAAAGTAATAAAGTCAGAACTTTGGATTGCCAATCAGGACATGAAGAAAGCTTTCGACTCTGTTGGCATGGTCCCCCTTGAACATGCCTTATGGCGAATTAAAATCCCTTCAACCACCATACAATTCCTTATCAATTTATTTACTAATAGACAAATAGCAGTGATCACTGAATTTGGTCTTACTGACTTCTTCACAGCGGGTGCCAGTATTGATTAGGGTGAAATCATTTCACCACTTTTGTGGCGCATCTTTTATGATCCTCTTCTATACAGAATACAGTCTGATCCTTCTCTTAGCTACTGCAATCACTTATACTGGCCTTCCCAATATTATTTCAACATAGACAAATGTTCTCATGAAGTTCATCGCATTGCTACTACAGCATTTGCTGATAATACCCAGTGGATTGGTAATTCCTGGGACAACCTACAAAGAATTATTAACATCTCTAATGAATTTTTTAATATTAACGATATACAGATAAATGGTAACAAATTCTCTCTACTCATTTTTAATTCGAAACTTCCTAAGAGTGATCAGTTCATCTATATGGATTACAATCAAGAGGCAATCAAAGTTATCGCACTGAATCCTGCTTTCAGTGAAAGAATCCTTGGGGTGTGGTTCACATCAGGCCTTTCTACACGCTCTGATCTCTCTATAGCAAAAAAAGAAATCAACAATATTATTAGTCTGATCAAATTCAAAAAGCTTACTATAGGACAAATGATCTACATTAATAATAAGGTCCTGATTCCTCACCTGATGTATAGACTACAAGTTTCCCTTTTGACTGACTTGCAGCTGGACAAACTTTCTCTTCTGTCTTCACGAGATGCAAACACGCTTTGAATCTTTCATGTACAACAAACAATTGTATTATATTTCATCCTGGGCTCATCAACCTTAAATCTCTTAAATTGGCTCTACAAGAATCACACTTCGCAGATTTGACCATTCAATTCAATTCACCAGGTTTACTTAAGAATTTAATATATACAGAGCTCAAAAAATACTAACTATGTTTATTATTGACCACTCCAATTTTTTCTCATATACCTATACAAGAAGATTTTCATCAGGAAGTTTTGGAGGTGTTGATATACACCAAAAAACACGTTGATCAACACTACCAGTTGTTCAACATGTTGTAAAACACCTGTATACTGGAGTTTATCAACACATGCAGTTAATATACACGTTTTTCTATACCAACAGTTGTTAAACACATTATA